CCATCCTCTGCGGAGCTTCAGTTGGCAGACAGATGGTCATACGTTTTCCTGCAAAATGTCTTGATAAACTCTGGAATTACATTTTCCCATCAATGACAACAATCCGTCCAGGCCCTGAGGCAGCAAAGCAGCCCCAAACCATGATGCTCCCTCCACCATGTTTCACAGTGGGGATGAGGTTTTGATGTTGGTGTGCTGTGCCTTTTTTTTCTCCACACATAGTGTTGTGTTCTTCCCAAACAACTCAATCTTGGTTTCATCTGTCCGCAGTATATTCTGCCAGTAGTGCTGTGGAACATCCAGGTGCTCTTTTTCAAACTTCAAACGTGCTGCAATCTTCTTTTTGGCCAGCAATGGCTTCCTCCGTGGTGTCCTCCCATGTTCTCCATTTATTGTTTAATGTTTCCTTATTGTAGATTGTCAACAAAAATGTTAGCATGTGCCAGAGATTTCTTGTAGGTCTTTAGCTGACACTTGCTGGGATTCTCCTATCTTTACCTCAATCAGAACATTCTGCGCTGTGCTTCTGCAGTCATTTTTACAGGATGACAATTCTGTTTTCCAGGGAGAGTAGGACAACAGTGCTAAACGTTGTTACCACAATGTGGAATTGTGTTAGTGGCAGGATCACCATATGAAGACACAGAACTCAAGGTGTTTGGAGTGATCCCTCTGCTTGGTGATTAAATACCCCACAGGATTTATCCAATTCTGCAAGTCAACACTTTTTCAGCACTACCAAGCTCTAATTAAAGGGGGCATAGAGCCCCTCAGACAGTTGGCTTTTTGAAAGATCTAAAAACAAAGTATATATGGACTTGACACAATCTATGTGTGTGTTATTTTTTATAGGTACTTAGGACACGGTCAGCAACTTTACATATATATCATTCACATCATTGTCTTCAAGGAGCATAGAGTCTAAGGTCTCTCACTCACTTCATGCATACACATACTAGGGCTACCAGCATGTCTTTGGAGTGTGGGAGGAAACCCACACAAGAGGGAGGGCAAACTCCAGGCAAGTAGTACCATCGTTGGGATTTAAACCAACGACTCTAATGCACTAGTGGAAGTGCTAACACTGTGCTGCCCATAGTCTTGCAATACAGTATAATTTTTATCCATGATAAGAGCCAACACTTGGCTACTAAACCTAAGGATTGATGTATTCCTTCCATTTTGTGAGATACTCAACTGCAGCACTTTTACTTTCAGGTATTGTTGTGCTTAGTGACGTTCAAAACACCCTCTCTGTTTGTCCACCATTATCATGGAACAAAACTAACGGGAAAATCCAAAATTCTACAACTGTTTCTGAACTGTAGAAGGGAAGCCCTCCAATGGAGCCAACAGTTCTGATGACAACTGTCTAACAGGGTAATTTCACTAACTTTGGAGAGATTCCCTCTCACTTCCTGTTGCATCTCTGGGACTGGAATAAAAAGAAAATTCCTCCAATGGGACACAGACAGCAAAAAAAAAAAAAAAAAGAAAGCAACAGGGGTTTTTACTCCCCATTCTATCCAAAGCTAAAAAGTAAAAAGTTGGCTATTGATCCCAATAGCCAACTGTTCAGTGAATTCATAATTTGCTGATTTAGAAATATTATGCTTCATGTCAATTTTAAAGTTGAATTGCAGAAAATTCACAACTACCCTTGTAGTGGGGCTCCCCCTCACTCTGCAATGGTTAAGGTAGAATTTCAGGTTTGTTGTCACTTTATTTTTTTGGGGCCAGGCTGGCCGAAACAAACTATTTCTATTATTAAATGGTGTGGCTGCTTGGTGTGCTGTATTTTACTGTAGTAGCATTAGCTACATAGAGTAAGCACATGTTCTGGCAACAGTACAGACTGTTACTTCACATAAAGAAACATAAAGAAAGTTGGGTTTAGTACTTCACCATTCAGGAGAAAACTTGTATTTTTATCAATGAATACAAGGCTGTATTCATTGGCCATGGTGGAAATTGTGACTTCATCTGCCCGCCTCGCCACATTGGCCAATCAAAGGAAGCATTGTATTAATTGATAAAAATACTAGGCTTCTCCTGAATGGCAGAGAAACACTTAAAAAGGCCATAGATGACTTGAAATTTGTCTGGTTCTGTAGGAATTGGCCAAATTTCAATCTATCTATGGCCGTTCCTGCTTAACAAAAGTTGACCCAAAAATCAACTTTTGTTGAACAGGATGTTGGAAAATTTGTATTCAATCAGCAGCTGCAGCCAATGGGCAGCAGCACTGATCAGTGTGTTCTGACAGCACAGGAGTCCCAGCATCCTTTAGTAATGGAATTAGTTTGAGCCAGCTTGGCCAAAATAACTATTTAAAAGGGACAATGGAACTCAGTCCATCCAAAATCGAGCTTTGAATATTTCCTTCCCCACGTGCCCCTTCCCCTGACCTCTCTGTCAAGATCAATGGCACAACCATCAACCTGTCCCCGCATGCCAGGGTGCTAGGTGTAATCCTGGACTCTGAACTCTTGTTTTTGGCTCCACATCCAATCACTTTCCAAAGCTTGCCATCTCAAACTCTGCAACATCTCCAAATGCACCCCTTTCTAACTAATGACACCACAAAGCTCCTAATTCACTCCCAGATTATCTCTCACCTCGACTACTGCAACTCCCTCCTCATTGGCTTACCTTTACATAGGCTATCCTTCCTACAGTCCACCATGAATGCTGCTGCCAGGCTCATCCACCTTACCAACTGTTCAGAGTCTGTCCCCCCCCCCCCCCCAAATCCCAGCATCGGCTGCCACTCGCCCAACAAATTAAATTCAAAATACTAATAACAACTTACAAAGCCATCTACAACTCAACACCCAGCTACATCACTAACCAAGCCTAAAAATACCAAACAAATCACTCTCTTCATTCCTCCCAAGACCTCCTGCTCTAGCTCTCTTGTTACCTGCTCCCATGCACGCCTCCAGGACTTCTCCGAGCCTTTCCCATCCTATGGAATTCCCTACCCCAATCTGTCCCTCTATCTCCTACTCTGTCCACTTTTAGGCCATTTCTGAAAACGTTTATCTTCGGTGAAGCCTATTCTGCTTCCACCTAACAACTGTACATGTATTTTCTCCATCAGCGCATCCCCGACAGTTATTACCTTTTTGTATCTCTTGACCTTCCCCTTTTTAGATTGTAAGCTGTCACGAGTAGAGCTCTCTGATTCCTCCTGTATTGTATTGTAACAGTAATGCTTGTCCTCATGTATTAAAGTGCTGCACAAACTGTTGGCGCTATATAAATCCTGTATAATAATAATTCTACTTTGCTAATTTTTGTCTAGGGTACCAATAAAATAAATTTTACTTACCTTATCCATTGCAGCTGCCATTCTCCTCTTTTCATCAATGCTCTGGGTTGTGGAAAGGTCCTTGATGTCCTCACAATTTGGGACTACATTGTTTGTGATTACATCAGAGGAGACCAACTGATGGAGCACCAAGGAGAAATGGCTTGTAGGGGCCAGTCACACAATAAGAAGGAACCGTGAGGGATAGGATAAGTAAAACCTCTTTTTACTAGTAGCCTAGACAAAAACAAACATCTAATTCTTGCATTGTGGCGGGAGCCTGATTACAAGAATAGTTTTGAAGTGTCCCAGAAGTTCAGCAATAAAAACAACATACAGTGTTCTCTATGTATTTCTTTTCTTTATTTATTTCAAGTTTAAACCTATTTTTTTCCAGTCATTGAACATAATCACATCTAGTATAGTAGTGTAGTGTAGTATAAAACAGTTTATTGTAGTTTATAGAGGTGGTTTTACTTTTATGGCTGAAATTTTGACCACAACAGAACTTTGTGTGGGCAACAGAAAACAGATTATCACCTTCATCATTCCTTTTAGAATAGGGGATGGAAAGAATGATTTGACTTCCTTTGGCCAACAGAGACGGTTCTTAGTTACAGACACTTTTATACATGAGGTCCTGTCTATAGGAGAGCATGACACAAGAGAGATGGTATGTGTGCAGGGATTAATTCCTGCGACATCAGAACAGACAGAGTCACAGGACATTGCCAGCTGTCTCAGCTGTGATTTGGTCATTAGAGAGCCACTCAACATACAAACGGCATTGATGCCAGTAATAGGCATATACATGCACATATATATATATATATATATACACATACACACACTCACTGGCTACTTTATTAGGTACACCTTGCCAGTGCTAATGCTAGCCATCACTACCAGCCTGAACCATTGATACAAGCTGATTCTGATACCATTGATTCTGACCCTGCCATCTGAATGTCGCAGCAACCAGTCTGCCCATTCTCCTCTGACATCAATAAGGCATTTTCGTCCACACAACTGCTGCTCACTGGATAGAGTATTTTCTCTCTTTCTGACCATTCTTTGTAAACCCTAGAAAATCCCAGTAGATCAGCAGTTTTAGAAAAACTCAGACCAGGCTGTCTGGGACCAACAACCAGGCCACGTTAAAAGTCATTTAAACCCCCTTTCTTCCCCATTCTGATGCTCTCTTTGAACTTCAGTGAGTCATCTTCACCACATCTACATGCCTAAATGCATTGAGTTGAGTTGCTGCCATGTGATTCGCTGATTAGCAATTTGTGGTGCCAAGCAATTGAACAGATATATGCATAATAAAGTGGCCGGTGAGTGTGTGTGTATATATATATATATATATATATATATATATACACACACACACACACACACAAATACACTGGTTCACAGCAATGATGTGCAACCAAGTGAAGAGAGTGCATTTAGACAGCAGGAAGTGATTGAAAGAGTCTGAAGGAAATCAGAAGCGCTAAAATTAATGAAGAAAAGATTAAAGTATTTTTGAACAAAAAAAAAAAAACTGATTGTTTGTGGTGCAACTGTTTTGCAAACTAAATGTCATCCAGTGAGGGTTTACATCAACTTAAAGCAGATATAGAATGAGATTATGTAATTAATTTCTTCTTAAAATTAACCATGTGCCATTTATTACTGATAGAGAAAAATTGCAACAGCAGAAAAAGAAAGACCAGAACATCTGGACAGAGAGGAGGAACAACAACAAACAGAAGAGATTAGAAAAGAAGTATTGGAGAAAGTCTTCAAGAAGGATGACCATGCTGATGGCATAAAAGATGTGCAAGAAAAGGTGCAAACAAAGCAAATCCCAGAAGCAGAGCCAGAAAAGGACAGTGGCAAAAATGCCCTGGATAACGAGGGTCAACAACCAACCCAACAGAAAGAGGAAGGAACTGAGTCTGTGCTTGAGGAGGCAAATATTAGCACAATGACTGCTAACAATGATCTAGTGAACAACACAGAAGATAAAAAGCCAGCAGAAATTTCCAAATTGAACATCCCCAAGAAACTAGCTATAGACTCTAGCTTCATCAAAATGAGTGCCAGGCCTTCTGGCAACCAAACTGACTTGGACAGAACATTGCAGAGCATCAGAAAGAATGATCCAAACATCAAAGAGGTCAACTTGAACAACATTGAGAATATTCCAAAGGAAATGCTGGTTGACTTTGTAAATGCTCTGAAAAAGAACAAGCACGTAAAGACCTTCAGTATGACCAATGTGGGAGCTGATGAGAATGTTGCATTTTCTTTAGCCAATATGTTGCGTGAAAATAGAAGCATCACCACCTTGAACATCGAGTCTAATTTCATCACAGGTAAAGGTATTGTGGCCATCATGAGGTGCCTTCAGTTTAACGAATACTTGACTGAATTGAGGTTTCACAATCAGAGACATATGTTGGGCCACCATGCTGAAATGGAAATTGGAAGGCTTCTAAAGGCCAATAACACTTTGCTGAAGATGGGGTACCATTTTGAGCTGCCTGGTCCCCGAATGGTGGTTACCAATCTGTTGACCAGAAACCAAGACAAGCAAAGGCAGAAAAGGAAAGAAGAACAGAAACAGCAACAAGAAAAAGATGAGGAGGAGATCATTACTATGCTAGAAAATGGTTTGGAATTGGGCATTCCTCCACAACTTTGGGCGATGATTAATCAAGCTTCACCAGCTCCTAACTCAAGGATGCCAACAATTCCTGAAGAGCCTAAGATTCCAATCCCACCGCTCCGAAAAAGTAAACAAATCAAGCCACAGCTTAGCTCAGAAAACATGGTCAGTGCTGAACCTCCACCTTTCAAGGATGTGAAACTCAAAAAATTCCAGCCAAAGTCTGTTGCCCAAAAATTGAGAGAAGAGGCAGATAAAACCAGCCTGCGAGACATGATACAACTGAAGAGAGCAGCACCCAAGTCAAGCACGTCTCAAAATTCAGAGCTGTCAGAGAAAACCAATCTCAGGGATGTAATAAAAACTCTCAAGCCAGTGCCAAGAAACCGGCCACCACCTCTTGTCGAACTGACGCCAAGGGATGAACTTTTGCAAGATATTCGCCAGAGTAACGTGGCTTATCTTAAATCGGTGAGTCATTCCAATTTTAAAAGGGTTTTCTACTTAACCAAGTTTATCCAGTTCTGCATACTTTAAAGATAAGAATGCACTCTTGTACAGGATAGCATAACCTTAGCCAAAGCTTTTTGACGATCGTTTAATACTAATTAAATAGCAACCCTTATTATTATTGTTTTATATCTGTTTTAATACTCAGCACATTGCTTTTTTTCATTCTTTATTTTTAAATAAGGGGAGCACATACAATGTAATGCAGAGTAAGAACTGTAGAATGAATCAGCATAGCATTGATACTGTATATACAATTCCAAGAGGCATGGCAAATCAATATTGAAAATACAGGTCTCTGCATTAGGCAGTGTTAAAAGCTGTCAACATGTACACTAAGAATGTACTTCTATTTTCCTTATATACTAACAGAGGGGATAGAAACAACCAATATGGTTGCTAAGCTTTTCTGACAAGGTGTCAGAAAATTGTATACAGGGAGGAAAGAGTTGTAAGAGAAGAAGGAATGAAGAGAGAGAGAAAAAAAAAAACTCAGAAGGGGAGAGAGAAGGTAGGTAGAGGGGGGGATTTACCAAATCTCCTTGGGTTCCCCACAGGTCTTCTGAACTTTCAAGGAGGTCTCTATATTCAGCCGAAAACATAGATTCATGCCAGCAGAACCACTTTTTTTTCAGAATGTTTCACGGGTACCTCACTCTGTTGCAACAAGGTCCTCCATCCTGTTGGTCTCCTCAACCTTGTCCAACCATAGGGCAACAGAGGGTGGTTGTCTTTGCTTCCAGCAATCAAGGATGCAGCCTTTGGCCGCACCAAGGAGAAGAACACTGAGTGTCTATAAGTTTTCCTTCGCATGGTATGATGATGCAGAAGGAACAGGATCGTCTCCAAGGGAATTGGGTAGTGCGTACATTTTTATGATATCGCTGAACCCTTAGACAAAAATCTTGAATCTTATCACATGTCCAAAAAATGAGCAGAGTGTCCCCGACGGTCCTCCCGCACCATATCGCAACATATCGCCTCATCACCACCTGTCAAATACACTTGGATTGCTTTTCAGAGGAGCAGCAGTGTCTGCTGAAAATGTAAATGAACCCTTATTGTTCTTAGCCCCCTAAAAGGCTTCTTTCACACTGATGCGCTATGGTTTACCTGCACCGTGGGTGCAGTGCAGTGCATTTGCGACCTTCCTGGGTTAGCTGCGCTTTGCCATAGACTTTTTATTACATCCTGCAGGTGTGGTGCACTTTCTGAAAGTGCACCAAAACTTCTACATTCATGAGTTTTGTGCGCTTTTAGAAAGTGCACCAAACCTGTAGCATGTAATAGAAGTCTATGGCTAACTAACCCACAGGAAAGCTGCAGGTACACTGCTCTGCACCCGTGGTGTGGGTAAACCGCAGCACATCAGTGTGAAAGCAGTCCTGTACTATTATTCCCAGTGTATTGCTTCACATTGACCTGAAGATCTCTTCTTTCCTGCTGCTGGCACCAATCTGGAGACCACCAGCTGTGATAGCAGATAGAGTGCAGTTGGTATCACTTCACATGGGACTGGAGCAAGCACTACAGAGGAGGGATTGGCTTAAAGCTCTTTACATGTAGTCCTTCTGTATTGCATTCTGATGCTCTGGGATAGTGCATCAACAATCCCAGACTGTGATCTACCAGTCACCTGGCCACGATCTACTGGTAGATCACAATCTACTGGTTGCTGACCCCCGCTATAAGAAGTAATGTACCACCTTGTTAAGATCTTAAAATGTGCTTCTTGGTGTTTGGTACACATGGAGACATTATGCATAAAAAAGAGTATTCTGTTAATCTGCTTGGATGAGGTCAAGTGGAGATCTTGTTCCCATTTTGTTGAGACAAGGTAGTTTAAAGTCCCTAGGGCAGGCATGTCCAAAGTCCGGCCCGCGAGCCATTTACGGCCCGAGGGTCGGTTTAATACGGCCCTCCATGTCAGTGTGTCAGTGTGTCTTATGGAGCGGCCGGTCCGGTATTTCCACCGCGGCCATGTCAGAATACCGGGCCGGCGCTCAGCTCTGCAGCGGGACCTTACCTGTTCCTCTATCCAGCGGCGCGCTGTCTTCCCGGCTTCTGTAGTGTGGGCGCTGGGCATGACAGCCGGGTACCAAGTGCGCATGCGCAAGAAGCGGTGCTTTTTGTGAATGGTAAGGCGGTACCTGGGACACATGACAGATCCCAGAAGCCGCCGGACCAATCACAAAGCGCAAGTGCTTCTCACTCATGCGCACTGGGCACCCGGCTGTCATGCCGAGCGCCATTACAGAAGCCGGGAAGACAGCGCGCGGCTGGATCGAGGAACAGGTAAGATCAAAGAACAACTGCGGAAGTGGGAGTGGGTACCTGTCAAATTCAGGTACCCGCTCCCCACCTCCCCAAAGGTCAGCAGTCATCTGTACTGTCCGCAGTCTCTGGTCATCCCTGTGCTGTCCGCAGTCTCTAGTCATCCCTGTGCTGTCCGCAGTCTCTGGTCATCCCTGTGCTGTCCGCAGTCTCTGGTCATCCCTGTGCTGTCCGCAGTCTCTGGTCATCCCTGTGCTGTCCGCAGTCTCTGGTCATCCCTGTGCTGTCCGCAGTCTCTGGTCATCTCCTGTACTGTGTCTGCAGTCCATTAGTTCAGAATTTTTTTTTCCTGTTTTCTGCCTCTAAAACCTAGGTGCGTCTTATGGTCAGGTGCGTCTTATACGGCAAAAAATACGGTAACTTGGCATAAAATAATTTATTTGCATTTAATTGTAATGGTTCAAAGAATGTTTGGAAAAATGTTCGGCCCTCCACCATGTTCACTTCATCCAATCTGGCCCTCTTTGAAAAAAGTTTGGACACCCCTGCCCTAGGGGGAGCATTAATAAGGTTGTACATGAGAGAAACTGAATGCCTAGAAGGAGTGGTGGCTAAATATTCCCATTCAAATTATATAAGGTCTCAACTAAAGGCTGTGGTGGGGAAAGGATGGAGAGAAAGTGTGATAATTGGACTTTCAACCAGTTATCCAGATTTCGTAAGTGTGAATAAAATGGTAAGCTCTGAAAACCTTTGCCTTATTCAGTTCGTGGAAGTAGGGGTCCTCCACTCCCGGTCTAAAGGATGGGTTATCTAGGATCAGGAACAGAGACAAAGGCCAAGGAGAAATTTCTGTGTTACTAAAGAGTTTTGTACTTAGCTTTCAAATGGTCCCTATAGTTGGATAACCTAATTCATAGTGGAACCCCATCCACACACCAAGGGAGAGTTACCATTTTGTTTTTTAAAGTCTGTGCTGCTCTTGTCCTGGCAGCAAGTCCAAGTCATGAGCTAACAGCCTAGGCTGACAATGCTGCTTCTGTATAGCTATACAGTAAGTGAGTGTTATCTTCGTAGGACAGAAGTGTGTTACTGCCAAATTCTCCAGGTGAAAAAAAGGAAAGCATGGAAAAAAAAGTGTACAGCCAACACACATATAAGGACTGCTAAGGTATAATATATGACATTTTTGTTCTCGGGTTTTGTTGCGCTCACTCTGTAACATTTTTCACATTATAGTCAGGAACTACAGGCACACTCTATAGTTTATACTTTAATTTTCTGTAAATAGCTATAGGTGGCGGATTTTGCTGTCACAATGTCCCAACAGGTGTTCGGGGGTTCCTGTATTCATCTAATTTGTGTGGATGGAAGAATCTCTGTTGGTGCTTTTTTTACTTCAGCTGGCTGGCTAAGTGAAAAAAGTCAGTGGCGTCACTAGGGTTGGTGTTACCTGGTGCAGTAAAACATGGTGTCACCCCCTCCAAGTATAGTCCCCCTCAGTACAGACCCCTCCCCTCAGTACAGACCCCTTCCTCAGTATAGACCCCCTTCCTTAGTATAGACCCCCCCCCCTTGCTTAGTACAAACCCCCCTTCCTCAGTACTGGCACCCCTCTCCACTTTTGCTAGTAGGAAGGTGAGGGGGTTGGATATGTGCTGGGGGGCGCTTTAGGAGGGAAGAGAGCTTGTGTTATTGTGGGGGGGCGGATTTTAAATCTAACCCCCACTTCTAGCATAGGTCCTTTCCCCTCCCTCCCAAACTGCCCTGCCCCCCAGCACACAATTTCTCCTAAATCTTTTTTTTAAATCGCCTCCCTTCTGTCCCTCTCCTCTGTCCATCCGATATATATATATATATATATATATATATATATATATATATATATACAGTGGGGCAAAAAAGTATTTAGTCAGCCACCAATTGTGCAAGTTCTCCCACTTAAAAAGATGAGAGAGGCCTGTAATTGGCATCATAGGTAGACCTCAACTATGAGAGACAAATTGAGAAAAAAAATCCAGACAATCACATTGGCTGATTTGGAAAGAATTTATTTGCAAATTATGGTGGAAAATAAGTATTTGGTCACCTACAAACAAGCAAGATTTCTGGCCCTCACAGACCTGTACCTTCTTCTTTAAGTGGCTCCTCTGTCCTGCACTCATTACCTGTATCAATGGCATCTGTTTGAACTTGTTATCAGTATAAAAGACACCTGTCCACAACCTCAAACAGTCACACTCTAAACTCCACTATGGTGAAGACCAAAGAGCTGTCGAAGGACACCAGAAACAAAATTGTAGACCTGCACCAGGCTGGGAAGACTGAATCTGCAATAGGCAAGCAGCTTGGTGTGAACAAATCAACTGTGGGAGCAATAATTAGAAAATGGAAGACATACAAGACCACTGATAATCTCCCCCGACCTGGGGCTCCACGCAAGATCTCACCCCGTGGGGTCAAAATGATCACAAGAACGGTGAGCAAAAATCCCAGGACCACACGGGGGGACCTAGTGAATGACCTGCAGAGAGCTGGGACCAACGTAACAAAGGCTACCATCAGTAACACAGTACGCCGCCAGGGACTCAGATCCTGCAGTGCCAGACGTGTCCCCCTGCTTAAGCCAGTACATGTCTGGGCCCATCTGAAGTTTGCTAGAGAGCATTTGGATGATCCAGAAGAGGATTGGGAGAATGTCATATGGTCAGATGAAACCAAAATAGAACTGTTTGGTAGAAACACAACTCGTC